CAGGGAGGAGAAAAATACCTCCTTTTTTTTTTTTTTTCTTCACATAGGGGTACTTCTTTGTCAATTGGCAGGGTTAGTGCTGTTCGGTACAGACTGTTATAAACCTTGCAGTGTCATTTTACGTCTACACAGAGGTCTGTGAATGCTTTCTCTGACATTTATAACAGTTTGTAAGGCATTTTAAGAGGGCCTAATAATAAGATGGGAAGTATTGGAATTAAAAAAAAAAAAGAAAGATTCTCTTCCTACTGAAATAGTCTGGAGACTTAAGATATGCTTGAACAATACTGAGTTTACTGGTGCTTAGAGTCCCCATTAAAGCATGTTTGTAATTTCAAATTAGTTTTGTTTATAAGTGTTGAGCTTAGATTTTCAAGCGGCTTGCAAATGATTGCTTTGCTGTGGTACTGTCTTTGTTAAACCCTTTATAGAGGATACAAAGAATTCTGTATGGTATTCACTGGCTTGATATACTTTTTAGGTTATGTCTTTCAAATGGTACTGAACTGGTTTATCCATTATGCCCCAAACTGGCGTTCTGTTCTTTGTTGTTGCAAACCTCAGATATATGTATTTTTGTGCATATTTTTTTTAGGAGTACAGTACAGAAGAATGAAAAGCTTCAGTTGCTTTGTACTGTAAACAGTGCTGCTAAATATCCACTATAAAAAAAAAAACCTTACTGCAAAGTTATCCAGTAGGAAGGTTTGTTAGTTGAAAAGCAAAGTTCTTCCTGACATGTTTATACAGCAGCACCCTCCATTCCAAAAATGCCCAACAAACAAGATAAATATAGGTATAACACGTAGAGAACAAAATTCTTGAGGCATTGTAACTTGTGAGTGTCTGGTTGCTGACATCGGTGGTTCTGTGAAATTTTGAATAGCTGCAAACCTGTTTCTTTTTAGTCATCTGACATTGATAGTCAAAAGCAGTGATGAATTTTGAAAATTTAGTTCTTGAATGTGAAGCAAACACATCATCAGCACTTCCTGTTCTTAATGTATTATTGTATTTATAGCTCTCTGTGGGTGCAGCTCCACAGGAGTTTGGAGATGGGGGAGTGAGAAGAAAACATTTAGAACAGATTTAGTATTTGTGAGAGTGTGCTTATCTGTCCAGAAGCTTGGAAATCCTGAGGGACTCTGTGAACAGAGTTTCTGCAGCAGCGCTCCCTCCTGGTCTGGTTGTGGCAGTGCTGGGTGTGTGGCAGTGCTGGGTGTGTGGCAGTGCTGGGTGTGTGGCAGTGCTGGGTGTGTGGCAGTGCTGGGTGTGTGGCAGTGCGATCAATGTGGGGAAGTAAGGGCAGCAGATATGTAATCCCATAATAGAATAATTTATAGCTGAATTGGGAATGTCAATTTTATTAATAATCTCATGAAATACGAAGAGCTTTGTCAACACTGCAGGTACAAGAAACATAGGTGTTACTATGGACAGTTTCCGTGTATTTCTCCTCCTCTTCTGTGTGAGCAGTCAAGTGATACAGAAAGTGTAAGACAAGTACCCGATGGGACTGTTTGGATTGGTGAGACTGACAGTTCATCGGTAGCTGAATATTACTTTACAATAGATGAATTATTCCCTTATTTGATAGTGATTCTCTGGTAAATCTGTGCTCCCATGTTTTGTAAACTGCAGACTTGTTTCTTCATCATCTGTTCTTGTCTAAAACTTTGTCAGCTTACTTGATATATTTCTGAATACCTACATTTCTCTGGCATGTATTCAGTGCCTAAACCTATTTTGATTTTTTTTTTAAATACAGTTTAAAACAATAATCCAAGAGGCATTTTCATTTGTGCCTTTTTTTAACTGGGATGTGAGTTTGGTTGCTCCTTCTGGCTTTGTTCATCTTGGCTTGCTTCCTTTTCCCACACTTTCCTTATTATGCTGCCACCGTGGCCTTGTCCTGTTCAGATTTCCTCTATGTAGCATTGATAATAGCTTTGGTCTGCAGGGTTAGCATGCTGCAGTGACCTTTTTATGGAAGGTACAGTTGCCTTAGTGGGGGTACGTGGAGTGAAGGGATGATCCCAGGTTAGCCTGTACAACTCAGCCTTTGGTGCTGAGTTTTCTGCATTCGAGGTGAAGAGAAGGGGAGCCATATGTCATCAGGAATTCCTTCTCTTAACATTCTCCATTGCCAGAAGGCATTTTAATCGAGATATGAATGTAACTCTAGCTCATTAAAAAATGTTTTAATGCTTTCCCCTTGTCTGCTTGAATTTGAGAGATATCCAGGTGCCATAGAGCAGATTGTACATCTGGATCAGTAGTTGACAAGGAGGGTGGATACCATTATGTATCAGTATATTGCAATGTACTAGTTGGTATTTACAGTCTTTACAGAGCCAAACCTTGTCATTTCACTAGCGACATTCCTGTTCTTTAAAAGTTTTTACTGCATTTACCTGATGATAGTGGCATAGTGGAGAACTCTGAGAACTTGCAAGAAACAAGGGTAAAGTGTGGCAGAAGCAGCCTACCTATGTTTACAAAAAATGTCTTCTCTGATTTGCTTTAAAACATTAAAACAGAATCCTAGCAGCTCTGCAACACAGAAAGCAAGGGATGACTGTACTCAGGGGATGTCTCCTTAAATGGAACCAAGGCAGTTTGAATCTGTTCATGCTGTGCTAGTGTTTTGCCATGGATAAAGACAGTGAGGCAGGTATGAGTGCCTCTGCTTTAGACTGTCCACTTGACTGGCAGTATCAGTCATCTAAGGCTGTCAAAGCATGTGTGTAATAATGAATGCTATAGAAAATGTCCTAAACCACTGATTTTTTTCTTTAGTGCTGTATCTCTGGGGAGACCAAGAATTGGTTTGAGGAGATATATATAGATAGATAGATATAGATATATAGATATATATATATATATGTGTGTGTGTGTGTGTATACATGTAATTTATTTTTATTTTATAGCTGAAAAGGAAATATTGACTGAGAAGGAAATAGAAGAGCAGATTGATATTTTTCTTGAGCAGTAATACACTTCATGTGTGTGAAACCAGGTGCCAGCACACTCACTGGTGAATTGCTTTATCTGAATTAGTTGGAATCTCTCACCTGTGGCTAATGCTTTCTCCAGTAATGTTTTTTCCTTTTAAATTAAAATTTACCAGATATGAAAAGAGACAGAGAGGCCAAAGTAGATGACTGTTCACCTTGGAGGAGGTGGCAGCTTCCCACCAGCCTCAGCTGTAGTAGCAGCCTATTCATGGCATGTTCTTTCAGGCATATTAATTGTATCGGGCAGTTAATAAGAGCTAGTCCAGTTCTCAGGGAAGTAATTTCCATTGTCTTTACTGGGAGCTGGGTGGGGATGTCTGTCTTGAGGTAGAAAAGTTGTTTATCTTTACAGGATATTGTGGCTACCATGATAACAGAACAGCAGCACAATTTGAAAGGCACTCCCTAAAAGCTGTGTGGAATCACTGATACAGAACTTTAACAGGGAGTTTGCCTCTCCTGGTATTCACAAACTTTGGGGCCTGTGCAGGCTTTTATTTCTGCATTAGTGAAATGTTCATCAAAATTAATACTAAAAAAAATTAGTTCTGAATATCCAGCACTTTCAAAACAGTTTTCATAATGCATTCCAATGCATTGAGCTGTGAACTGGGATTAATTATATGATGACAGTTAAGTGGTTGAAGGAATGTGGGGCAAAATTCTGCATTGAGTCTCAGAAAATAGCAGTGAGCTCTTGTCCCAGGAAGAGGAGGGGTCATCGTCAGGGATCTGGGAGCTACCTGCCACTGTGGTCTCGTACCATCTCCAAGGTTTTACACTTCTGAGAACCAGAGGTGAGATATGGGTATTGCCCATGCTACCATCTGGCTAGGCAAAATGTTTATGGTGCTGTAAGGTAAACCCTGTGGTGGGTGCTTCCTGTATCTAGTTGGGAGCAATATACATGCAATACTGTACTGCAGAGCTGACCCAGATCTCCTTGAAAAGCACCTCTGTGGGTATAGTGCATGTACCAGAGGAAACCGCTCCTGGGTAGCACTGAGGATTTTGGAGCCCCTTCAGGCTATTTTAACACTTACCTCATGTAAGTAGAAAGGAACAAGCAGAAAGGATCTTATCTTTTGTGTATAAAATGAGCTCTGGTAATGTGCTTTGGCAGATTGCCTGTTGATGTGTCAGAGCTGTTTTGTATTTGTCCACTGAACCATCCGAGGACCATCTCTAGCAGTTCGCAGAGATGCGCATCGCCCTCTCTGCTCATGTGATGCTGTTCCTCTGGGTGTATGGGGTGGTGTAGGCTGGCAGGAGACGAGTCATCTCCTTTGTCTCCATGATCAGGAGGGGTGGCAAATCTGTACATGTCCATACAAAAGCAACTCTTCCACCTCCTGCATGTGTATTAACCAGTGATTCAGATTTGTGGAAGGAAAACTCCAGCAATGGTAACGTCTGCAGAGTCGGGTTTTTTTCCACCACACAGGAAAGAAAAATGTAAAAGATGGTTCCGCTTCTACTGCTGCTTGCAGTTTCATAAATAGGGCTTTGCATGAGAAGAGGTTTTGTTTGAAACAAACAAGTTACTTCTGTGTATTCAAAGTGGAACTTGAAAAGGAATTGTTATCCACTTAATGTTACTTTGATGTAAAAGGAAAGCGTGTATTGAATGTGATTGGGCTTGAAAGGTGGTGATTTGTAAAGTAGTTACGGTTGGGTTTTGCTTGTTTTAAACAGATCAGCTGTTACGAACCGCAAGTCAACACTCTGACAGCAGTGGCTTTGCTGAGGACTCATCCACAGATTGTTCTCCATTTAATCAGCTCCAGGTAAGGTTCTCATACTGTGGTTGAAATATTACTGATTGCGGAACAGTAGTCCTGGGGAGAGCAGGAGGGACGTTGATGTTTGACTGCTATCATGACCATCAGTCTAGATCCTATAAAATGTCTCACTTTCAGAGCTGGACCTGCTGAGACCCTTACAGAAGTGTGTTAAAATTTGAAAGCCTTTCTGGTAGGATAATCTGGGTATATTTGGGCCTGGAATAACCTCTAAGTTCAGTATGTTCTGTTTGCTGTTCCTAGTGTATCTTTTCTCACCGATGGGGGCTTCAGAATTGTAGTCCATTCCTCTCATGCCTGCAGTTGGTAGAGATTAAGATTATGAAAGATTATAGCTTTTCTGCTGATCATTTAATTTCTTGTGTCATTTTTGCTTTCCCACATTTTTTGCATATTTTTCTATTTTTTTTAAGTTAGCAGCTGACATAAGGTGAGAACAATTTCATACTAATTTTACTGTAAGGGTATACTAATATTTAGTCAGTCTTGAGCTCCTGCACTTTCTTCTTCCATTGCCTTTGATCTCAGTCCCAGAACTTGCTGTGATACTGACCAGAGACAGCATGTTTTAGGGGAGGGCTTGTTCAAGTGTGGGGCTTAGGTGGCTTCCCAATACACACGTTTGCGCAGTGTTGTACCTGATATTTAGGAGAGGTGTTTTCTTGTTCTCCTAAAACATTCTCACAGTAATAACCATGACTTGGTTAGCCTGTTAATCAGCCAGAGAAAAGTCTTGAGTTGGATCTTGGCCTCAAGGCCATTGGTTAGCTGTCTGGGACCTAAACCACAGTCTGGAGATGGGATTCTGGATACCACCAGTAATTTAATTTCTATGGTTTGCAGCTGCCGAACTTTTTATGCGACTGTATGTCTCTTTCCTTGTGGCATACCAAACATTTTAAAAACTGTTTGGCACTTCCTAGGAAGAGATTCCCACCCTCTCCATCCATCAGCATTGCTTTTCTGTTCCGGTACTAGTATTCTGTGCTTTCCAGTTTAGTGGCTTTTCAACTGAGTCTCAGAATGAAAGCTAAGACAGTTCTAGTCTTTGTGTCTCCCTTAAATGTCAACTTACGCTTTCCAAGATCAAGAGAGCGAATAAAGGAAATCACGAGCCTGAGTCACTGTAATGAGCATAATACTCTTGAGATACTGGGACTGCACTGAAGTTGACAGGCATATTAAAAGGTGACTTATATTAGACTTGCTCTCTCCTGATCTTTATATTGATTGCAACCTGATTAAGAGTCCATTAAAAGCATGTTGCAAGTAAGTACCCCTTCACTGGAAGACCGGTGGAGTTTGTGTTGGCTGTAAAGAGATGAGATTTTTCTGCTTTCTATTATGCCATTTTGAAAAGATGTATTGAGACTGCATGAGGTTTGTGCCATGGAGTTGCTAGACTCTCTTCTGCCACCTTCACTGCTTTATTCAGACCAAGTGCTGAGCTGAATTCAGAAAATACGGGTGAATGATGAGACTAGGGGAAATGAGAACTTGGCAGCTAGTGAAGAGATCCTGTGAAAAGATGAAGGGGATACAGAGGGGTGTATATTGTTTCTTAAAAGTATGGTAAGTTAGTGCCATCTACTGTTAAATAATTGACTCTAGAAGCCATAGCATTCCTCTGAAACTCAGGAGAAAACTCAAAAACTGGAATTGTATTGCCTTTCATCCCTGGCATCCAAATTAAAGATTTCTAAGAGGGATTTTGCCTTTGAGATTGGGTATTCTGCAGGGGAGCTTCATGTTACCAAAGAAGCTAGGATTCTCCATGCAAGTTCTTGAAGTTTTGCTTGCCTGACTTGTTACTGAACAATGTGATGGAGGATTAGAGACACACATGCACACATGTAGCACACCTGATTTCATCTAGACATTACAATCGTTTATTCTTTTAATAGTTTTGACTTGAACAGTATCTGAACCTGCACAGTCTTCAATACTAATTTGTGGTTGTGCCAGTGCGTGTAGTGTTAAGTACAAACTTATGAAGATGTCCTTCACAACTGAAATCTTCTACATGGTTGGAGAAGGAACTGTTGCCTGACATACACCATAAGTAATCTCTGTAGAATGAACTAATAGTTAATATCCTAACAGCAGTGAGATTTGCAGAAATTAAAGATGGAAAAAGCTTCACTAAATAGCTAGTTCACACATCAACTGTGGTAAACTTCCATGACTACTTAATACCACATATTCTTACGAAAATGTTTTGTCCACTTGTAAATATACTGGTCAGTCAGGCCAGCCTGAAGAATATGCTTTGCAATCCATAGATCTCTTTCTTCCCTTTCTCATAGATGCTTTTCCTGTCATTTGTTACCTGTTAAATTAACAGCTCTCTCATACATGTTCTGTTTTAAACTGATGTAGAATGAAAAGGGGAAGAAGTATTAGGAGGAAGGAAGGATGGGCATAATAGTACTGAATGCATTCTTTAATAGGGATTAGCAGCCTAATGTGAGATTCTCAAAGAATTCTGACTTAGAACAGGATGAGTATATGGGCAAACTGGTTTTCCCATTCTTAGTGTTGTCCTATGACACTAGTTTCACTACAGTCTGCAGTTCACCTCACCTTCTCTGTATGCATTCCCTAATACCACCCTTTGTTTCAGCACTGTGAACCTTTCTTTATATATGGGAGATGCTATGTATTGCCACCCTGCTACCTTTTGTCATTGCTACCTAAAATACTAGCATTTTACTCTTTTGCTCTGCTGCCACTTCTGTTCTGGCAATAGAGAATATTATCAAATCAAAAAAAAAATGTGTGTGTGAATAGCTTGCTCCTTTTTTTTTTAAGAAAAAAAATCTCCTTTTTGTGCCATACTCCCATATGCTTCTAACCTATCTGATACTACGGGTTCTTTGTTTCCCTTTACTGTTTTTCTTGCACACTAACTGCATTATTCTTTCTGCTCCCCACCGCAATGCTCAGTGAATATGGACTTGGACTCTTAGCCGGACTCCTGAGAAGGCAGTAATTGAGTCTCCAGTATGTTTACCTCTTTGCTGGCTTGTATCTTTCCTAGGCTCAGGAGTCTTTGCAGGGCATGGGAAGCAGTGCTGACAGCTGTGACAGTGAGACAACCGTGACGTCGCATAGTGAGGAACAGAAAACACCAATAGCCAAGGAACTGCCCTGTTTCAATAAGTTTGAGGAGGAAGAGGATGATGAGGATGATGATGATGATGATGATGAAGAGGATATTATCTCTCAAGTAGAGAGACAAAAGATAGGGGCACCTTCTGAGAACAGAAGGAGTGAAGATAGAAAAATTGACTATGAAACTGAACAAAATCAAGAAGGAGAAAGCAAGTCATCTCATATATCAGAGACAGTCCAAGGAGAGGTCAGCTCTAAAGAGGAAGACGTTTCCAGTGAGCAAAAAGAATTGGACCTGCTGGAGGCAGGCAGTGTGTTTGAGTTTCCTCAGTACCACACGCACCATATCCTCAAGTCAATGGAGTCTCTGGAAGGTGACGGTGCCTCCCCATCATCTGTGGACAGGGTTCACGTTGCCTTGCAAAGAGCCGAGATGAGGATCGTCAGCACGTCAGATTCCAGGACTGGACGCACTCTGCTTAAGTCAAAAGATCTCCTGAGGAAGCAGAGACTCTGGTTTGCTGAATCGGGCTATCCTCTAAGGCGGTCTCAGTCTCTCCCAACTGCATTGCTGAATCCCGTGAAAGTAGTGTCCTCTGTCAATGTCCAGTTAACACCAGGAAAAGAGACTCTGTGCAGTCCTCCTTCTTTCACCTATAAGTATACGCATGTGGAGGAAGACGACAAAGCGATGCCTGAAAATGACAAAAGTGAGGGTGAGGCAGCTGCCAGCCAGCCGGTATGCAAATCCACACTGTTCATTGCACCTTCATCCTCCAAAAAAGAAGGGCTCCACACTGGGCAAAACAGGCTGTCCCAGGAGTCCAGTCCCACCAGGGTACAGAGCTGCCCACTGCACACACCGGCACACATGTCCCAGTCAACGTGCTCCCTCCACTCCCTCCCTGCGGAGTGGCAGGACAGACCGCTCTGCGAGCACGTGAGGACGCTGAGCACCCACAGTGTCCCAAGCATCTCCGGCTCTTCCTTCAGTGCCTTGCTTTCCCCCTTCAGCTGTCCCTTCTCTCCAAGGCATGCTGGATTTCCTCATCGACCTCATGCCATCAACCCACCCTCCACTGTGGAGATGCAGCTGCGCAGGGTCCTACATGACATCAGAAACTCTCTGCAGAACCTCTCACAGGTAAGAGAAGCCAAATTTTGCCTCTGGGCATAGAGGCTTCTTATTTTATCCTTATAAAATGAAGATGTTAACCTGAATATTCCTTTGTGTAGTGCAAAGGTTGGAAATCTTCACAGATATTTTGTGTAGTGCAAAACATCGGGGAAAACACATTTTGTGCAAGTTTGATTTGCCACTGTTTTAGGAGCTTTTGTTTAGAGTGGCAAATGATGATCTTTCCAGCGGTCCACTATTTTTGTGTTTAATTTTTTCTTGTTACAGTTGACCCAGGGTTTCTTGTGTGATTTTTTTTTTTTTTTTTTTTTGGTTGGTTGGTTTTTACTTTTACGGTTATTCTTGGGTGGGAGAGAGGAACAGTGTACTCATTATCAGCTATTATTTTAAGGTAATAGCCATTAGCTTTAGATTTGAAAATACGTGTTGACAATTCTTTGACCTCTCTCTTCTTCTCTTCGACATACTTCCCATCCAACTGATAAAAATGTGTTTTTTTCATCAGAAGTTGCATGGCTTCACTGATGATGTCGATGACAATTGATCCCTATACGTTTCTCTGCTGTTTCGTGCCAATCTTTTGCACTTTCAACTCTGTAGCTAGTCAACATGTTCCTGACAGCATCAGTTTATTAAGAATCCGTTTTGTCAGAGCATGTGAAATTTTGTCCATTCTCATCACTCAGAGAAGAAATACTTTAAAATGCAAGCACTTTTTTTTTTTTTTTTACCAGTTTCTGCCACACCTCCTGCTCTTTTCCTCCTGATTGCCAGCTCACTCTCCTCTGTCATCCCAGTACTGCTGTTCTGTTAGGTGGTGATCCAGCTTAGGAGCCTGCAAGCTGCTGCAGGAGGCTATGTGGGCAGAACAGTTGCCGACTCACTTGTTTATATATGAATACACAAAGACTGTTCAGTTGTAGAGCTTCAGTGATTTCTGTGGGTTTTACCCAAGAGCAAACATGTGCCTGCCTGCACCATATTGCAGGCAGTAGGCTGTAGTAGGCTTTTTTAGACTCCTGTTATTATGTTTATTTTGCCATTTGTCAAAAGTTAGAGGCTAGTCCAGCCTGACTTTGCTTATATCAGCTGGCCCAGCTTCTCAGAGCAAATTTTGGTATTGTGACCAGCTCTGCGGTGGAAAGCTGCGGTCAACTGTTTTAAGTCAGCCATTGTTCAGGGTAGTAGATGGTGTGTGTTCTTTGTAAAATTCCCTTGTATGTACCAATTGCAGCCTTGATTTGTGTAAGGTTACAGTTGCTACAGTACTTCTACAGCATATATCATGCTAACTAAACCTACTGAAGAAGAAACCTCTGTATTGCATCCAGAACTCATGCTCAAGCTGGATCAATTAAAAAAATAGTATCTGAGGGGATAGTAACATCTGCTAAGGCACTTGTTCTGCTTCCAGCTTATTTTGTCTAGACTAGTTCCATTTTGGGGGCTTGGTCCTTCTCATTGCAATGGTTTGTATGAAAATGTATTCCCTGGTGCTGTTTTTTCCTACAGCCAAGATCAAGTTTGGCACACAGAATACTCGGCAGTTAAAGAAAAAGTTGAGATGTTTCAAATATATGATTCTGATTTTAGGAAGAAATACAGAGGAGTAGATAAATTCCTGATAGAACAGGGAACAGAGAAAACTGGGAGAGGAAAAACAAAACATCCCCTTGATGTGATCATGTTTGAGCAAAACTCCTCTGGATGAATGGACACGCTTCAGATTTTCCATGGCGTGTCAATAGTCCTTTGAATTCTTTCAAAATTATATTGGACAAGCTGTCTTTTTCAAGTTTGAAAAGGTAAATGTTCTTGCTGTTTCCACTGTTCTTTCTTGTGCCATGTCTCTACATGTAACAACCCCTGAATTTTGTCTGGTTGCTTCATTTTTGCAACATGCAAATAGAAATTCTTCAACAATCTTGTTTCATTAGCATGCAGGGGTCTTTGGGTGAAGGCAACGTAGTGAGATTAAAAAACAAAGTCAACAAAACCAACCCAAACTAACTGAGCAAAAGCCCATAACAAATGTGACTGTAATCGTGACTTGAAAATAGGACACAGTTTAATTTGCTCAGTTTTTAACATTAGCTAAGACAGCCCAGACTACTGAGTTTTCAGGCATAAAATACCCAGAGTAGAAAAAGTTAGCTTTTATTCCTACTTACTGAGTTCAGGACAGGATCAGTTTGGTTTTTCACCTGCAGCACTTTTGGTGTATATGCTTCAGTTAAGAGCTGGTGCTGCTGTTTTGTAAGGTTTCCTTTTCCTGATACAATATTTACATAGGTAGCAGACATCAGTGACACAAAGGTTGTGTTTTAACAATGTCTGCTTTTGGAGTATCTGCACATTTGAGAAGATGAGTTTATAAAGGAGATTGCTGACTTTCTCATTTAAACTTGTTTGTTTCTTTCCTAGTACCCGGTGTTGAGGGGTCAGGATCTTTCAGCTGCCACCAGTTACACTACTCAGCGATCATCCATTCTACCTCTCTATGAAGTAAGTGACCCTGTTCACGTAGTGGTACTTAGCCAAATTAAAAGACAAAGAAACATTCTAAATGTGCCACAGATTGTGCTAACTTGGGCAGTTCCCTGTCTTTACTCTCAAGACGACTCCGTCCTGCAAATAACATTAAAAAGAAATTCATTTAAATACCTGGAAATCCCTTAATGTATTTTCTTGTATGATATATCTAAAAATGTTTTCTTGAATTTCTGCGAGTTCACAACATGCAGCCTCTGTAATATATGGAAGTTGCTGAGGTTCTGCTTGACACAAAGGGCACATCTGGGTAAATGTGGCTATGGGACCCAGACTTTTAAATTCAATTTTTCCATGTAATGCATTATTATGTTTATGATTGGGTTTTTTCCCCCCCGCAGAATACGTTCCAGGAGCTACAAGTGGTAAGGCGAAATCTAAACTTGTTCAGAACCCAAATGATGGATTTGGAATTGACTATGTTATGTCAACAGACAACAGTTTATCAGCACATGACAGAAGAGGAAAGGTAGAATGATCTTATAAAAAAAAGAGAAAGTACTCTGGCATTTCAGGAAATGTGTTGCTGCCTCTGAAATCAGAGCAAGAAATCTATTAGTTTCAATTTGAACAGGGTTGGAGCTGTGTTTTTACCAGAAACTTGTTTACTCTCTTTTTTATACTTCTTCATTCCAGAGTTTTTTTCCTCTTTTTCTTTGAATCCCTATTTCTCATTAATTGATTTTTTTTTTTTTTTTTTTTTTTTT